TCACAGCTCACTCTGTACCCAAGGGCACTGCAATCACAGCTCACTCTACACTCCAAGGACACTGCAATCACAGCTCACTCTACACTCCAAGGGCCATCCACACAAGTCCGCCCTCCCTGACCAGAGGAACATGTACAAAGTTCACTTACATGTTTGGAAATAAGACTCAATTTATGACTAAGGGTAAGTTCTTTATGGAATTAATGAAATATCTTCAATCAAAAGACTTTACTAACCTAAGTTTTTATGTAAACAAAAATGAAATGGCTCACACAGCATTATAAGGTTCATCTACATTTCTTCAGATATTTCCATGTTACTTGGAAATCTTTCTAAAAACTTAACATTCTTAGCTTCTAGAAAGAAAATAACTGCAGTTGATTTTCGTGGTGCATATGTTCTATATCTTCAAATCTATCCACTCCAAATCTGTCTGTAACTCCAAATTATTGGATTTGCAGCTATGCCCAGAACTGGAGAAAACTGACATCACTCAAGGGGGCGAGACCATGAAGTCTGATAGGGCATCTGCAATCACACTGCAATCAGGCATCCTTTCTTGCACTTTCCTGTTCCAAACAGGCAGGGGTGAAAATCTACACCTATAACCCAGCCCTTAGGAAACTACGGCAAGCAAATACAGAGCTCAAGTCTAGCATGAGCAATATAGCAAGACTATTTTGTTTAAAAAAATAAAATAAAATAAAAAAAATTAAACAGTCTCCACATGCAGTTCTAAAAAACTGTTTGGTATCCATGGGTACAAATGTACTTACAGAAAAACATGCTAAGTTTCTTTCAGGCATAAATTAGAGTGGTATATTTATGAGGAAGTAATAAATTAAGGTGTCATACTGAAGGGGTTCATAACTACAGCAAACTGAGGCTTATTTTACAAATACAAGCAACTGTATTTGTTTCTTACAATTCACTAGAAATAAGGAGCCAGGGCTACCCCAGTGAGCGGCCAAAAACTACAAGCTGCTTTCCAGAATGAAGTAGCTTTCTGCTGACATCTCAAACTCCCTTCTATTTGCTCAATCAGAATTTAATTAGGTGCCTAGCACAGACAAAGCTTTAGTACAACTTATTTTTGGATTACAAAAATCCAAAAGAAAGTGGCAAGGGCTGCAGGAGAAGCAGTGAGGAGAGGAACCACACAACGGGTTTCCGAGTAATGCTCTATACTCTGACCTCAGAAATACCGAGCAAGGCTAAGGAGGGTCAGATCTTCCCGCCCTTTGTCCCAGTGCAGTTCTTGATGTTAAGCATATACCAGGACAAAAATACTATGAGATAGAGTCTATTTATACATATATGGTGTTATATAAGGTCAGAAATTATCTGGTGAAATTGAAAAGAAAAATTAGGTGTTTGGTTAACTATTATTGTTACAAGGTATTAAGTCTGTTGTTTCAATTTCCTGCAAAAAAACAAAACCAAAAACAAATCAAAACAAAAAACCCATACAATCAACAAATCACTCGGAAGCCCCCAGAAGGGAAGTTACCGTAGCTGCACACAGTTCCCGAGCTCGGGCGGAATCTGCAGGAGGTCGTTGTTTTGAAGGTCCAGAGTGCTCAGCTTTTCCATCAGCTTCATCTTCTGAGGGTCCACAAAGCCAACCTGATTGTTGCTGATCAGAACTGCTTCTAATGTGGGGATGTGGTACAGAACTGGAGGCAGCACTGTGAACCTATTGAGATATAAAAGGACACCTCCATGTACTGAGCTAAAGGCCAAATCATTCTCAAAAATAGATGACTCAAGTGTGGTTTAAGTCCTATATTCGACTTTTCCAGAAAACAAGAAACCAATTTTAGAATATATATTCAGCAGACAGAGAAGGTACTGTTGATTGTAAAAATCAAACAGAAGATGAGGCTAAGTCCCCCACTCACGAATGTGACAGCTCTGGGGCTCTAAAGGCTGCTCTTGGGAGGGTACTCTTTGTCAATTTACTTTTATTTATCATTAATCACCTCTATTTAAGTAAAATGTGAGGGGTTTTTTTTGTTTTTGTTTTTGTTTTTTTTTAGTTTGTTTGCTGGAGGCTTCCAGACAAAAGCACTCTGAGTTCTTCCAGAGATGACTGACTGTCACAGACACTGGCTTCATTGTCCAAACGAAACTGTCAGATGCCAGAGACAGGTGTTCCTGGCTAACATCGGATTTTCAGTGTTTACCTCAGGCATCTCAAAAGCTCTCCACACTTGCCCTACAACAACCACAATTAGTCAGGTGTTTCTCTTCCTTCTATACTGAGTTCTCGGAGTGGTGGAAGGAATAACAACCACAGCCAGCTCAGCATCAGTCATGAGAATTCTAAGCAACAATACATTCAAGTAGAATGAAATGAAAATAAAACCTGCCAGTGAGATACGGTAAAATAAAGGATTCTTATTCAGCTGGCTCCAGATGCTTTCTTACCTGTTAAACGAAAGATTGATCGTTTGCAGTTTTGTCAGTGATGACATCTCTTCAGGCAAAGAACTTAAAAAATTATTCCTAAATTGGAAATCAAAACATGGGTTTGAAACTTTGCAAACTTTTACAACTTTAAATCCTAGGAGGAATAAAAAACGCAAGTGTGCTTGTCAATTCTTATTAATCTGAGCATTCTTCTGCATCCTTCCTTTTCTATGTACAATTCTGTCTGCACAAGCTGTGCTACACAGCCCAGTCTTTGTGCTGTCAGACATGAGAGAAGATTGAATCCTCCTAGTAGAGACTTCAGAACAGTTACAAAGAGACACACACACACAAGTCTAGGACAAAAAAAAAAATCCCACAAAAACAAACACAAACAAACAAACCAGACAGCAGCCAGGGGGACCTCCTTTCTCTCTGTTCCATCAGCTTTATACTCTTGACACCCCAGAACAGAAAAAGCTCACACTTAGTGCAGGCAGATCCTCCTGCCTCAACTATACTTTATGCCAACTAAAAGCATTCCTGCTAGTAGGACGCACTAGGAGAAGCGCAGGCAACAGAAACAGTCTACAGCAGATAATGTCAAGGCCCAAAGACAAACGCTATGTAACCGAGACACTTGGTGTCACTCTATGAGCTGTCTCAAGCTTGCTAAGATTCCCAAAGAGTATAAGGGAGGTTCTAGCTCTGTTCCAGTCAGGGCTCTTCTGCTTGGTTCTGTCTCTTTAATGTCCCAGTGGGAAGCAAGCAGGCTCACAGGCCTTGTGCAACCGTAGAGCAGCAGAGGGGAATGCTGGGCAGAGGGGAATGCTGGTCTGGTCTCCAGCATTATCTACTTCAGCAACAAACAACACAAAGTAGACATTTTCCATGTGTTAACTGTCACTTCCCTTAGGCAAGAATTTAAAGAATATTGATTAAAAAATATCTTAGATAGGGGACTGGAGAGATGGATCAGTGGTTAAGAGCACTGGATGTTTTTCCAGAGGACCTGAGTTCAATTCCCAGCAACTATATGGTGGTTCACAACCATCTGTAATGAGATCTGGTGTCCTCTTCTGGCCCGTTGTAGGCACAATGCAGACTGAATATTGTATACATAATAAATAAAGTGTGTGCCACAACACCTGGCTTAAAAAAATTTTAGATATTTTTATCTCATCATCTAAGTTATAAAATATTTACAATGGGAGGCTGGTTAAAGTATCTAAATATTTAATTTTATATTTCCCCTAGCATTGTTAGCACACTGAAGACCAGGTTCCATATTCACCAATGAAAACATGATACGAAAACTCAGAAATCAATCATAACTTTTAAGGTGTCAAGTAACAATATATTTTCAAGTACCTTAAATCTAAAAATGTCAATTTCTGAAGCAAGCATAACTCCTGGGATATAAAGGAAAGCTTGTTAAAACTAAGGTTGACATCTGATACCATCTCCTTCAGCTCAATAATCCTGAAACAAAAACAATTATAACTGTTAGTACTAATTCAAAAATGAAACAATCATAGGAGAAGGAACAACATCCCTTTTGCCTTGCCATGACTTTCAGGATCTCAGTTCCTCACAGAAATTTCAGACTGGCTGTGTAAACTCAAAATTAAAAAGAAAAAAAAAGTCTTACAGTGATCTGACCAAGGCGTCAATCTGACAGTAAATGCTTAGTGAAGTTTAATTTAAAAAAATCCACTGATTATATATTTAATGTAATTAAGAAAAAAAATCAGACCTACCATAGTACAATATTTCATTTTGGCAGTTAACTGAATTCATAAAATATACTGCTAGACACTAATAATACAGCATTTTAGACAACACACATACTATTCATATGCAGGCATCTCAAACTAATTTTAGGGATTGGAGAGACAGCTTTGTCATAATACTGGCTGCTCTTTCAGAGGACCCAATTTTGATTGGCAGTACCCACGTGGTGGCTCACAACCGTTAACTCCAGTTTCAGGGCATCCAGCACACTGTTTTCCACTGGTACCAGACATTCAAGCGATTTCAGGCAAAACACCCATACACATAAAATAATGTTTTTATTTAATTTGACATACCACTTTCTAATAATATTTGCTATGTAAGTTATCATTAAATCCAATCATGGTTAAAACAAGATCTGAAGCTGGTTTCTAGGTTTGACAAGTCTTTACTGCTAAGCAGCTTAAGTTGAAAAAGAAGGATTAAACATCTCTAACTAAGCCTAATCAAGTTTGGTCATTTTAATTATATGACTGATAAGATCTACCAAATAAAATTAAACCATAACAAGCATTTTTTGGTCCATCACATTAGCAAAGAAAAGAAAATAGAAAACCATCATAGCTGGTGCTTAAGACGTAGGGAGGAAGGGAGCACCAATGTGTAACCAACAATCTTTAAAAAAGTAATTGAATAGACATGCATCAAGGGTCATATCCCTCAACACAGTAATTTTTCTGGAAATTTAGCCTCAAGAAACAGTGTTTTATTTACTCCTATAAGTAGTTAACCTAGTACATGCTAAAGTAGACTTTAAAAATATTACTTATGAAATATTGAAATACAAAGAAAAAAGAAATTGAGAAATACATGTTGTAAATAAAGCATCCAAGAACAAATTACACATAAAATTGCAAATATCGAATGTCACTAAGATAACATCTGTATCAGTGATAAGACAATATGCCATGTCCTTCCATTTCATTTAACATTTTATGAATATTCATTATGAATTATAAATTTTATGTAAGAGAGGGAGAGTGGACTAGAAGCACTCTAGGGCAAGGCAGTATGTGCTATGTCTTCTCTGGCTTTCTAAGCTGCTTTTTAAAATCAGCATCCCTGGTAAGAGAAGACGATGACTGTGGAATAAAACAGGGAGAAGCCTAAGCAAGTGGGTGAATCCAGGGCATCTCTTTCAGTATCCACCTCTACTCCAGTCAAGTATGAAGCTGCTTAGTACACACATGTGATGTGGGGTTCCCCTCTGTATGCTATGACTATGTTTTATTACCACTGGTTAATAAAGAGTTGCTTTGGCCTATAGCAGGGCAGAATATAGGTAGGCGGGAAAACTAAACCCAATGCAGGGAAAAAGTAGGCAGAGTTAGGTAGATGCCATGTAACTGCTGAAGGTCAAAGATGCCAGAACCTTACCAGTAAACCAGTCTCATGGCGAGATACATATGAATAGATATGGGCTAATTTAAGATGTAAGAGCTAGCTAGGAACATGCCTGAGCCATTGGCCAAGTAGTATTGTAATTAGTATCGTTTTTGTGTGACTATTCAGGTCTGGGCGGTTGGGAAATGAAAAAACAAGAGTCTCTGTTTACACACATGAACAACTAAAAAAAACCAGAGAAAGACAAAACACAAGGGAACAGAGATGCCACAGAGGCCAACTGATGTATCAAAAACACTGAACGGCTTTCACACAACTGCCCAGATTTTCAGATGTCTAAAAGGGCAAAATATAAAATGTATCTTATTTACAGAGAACTCTTGGAATATAGCTCTTGAAGCAAGATAGCCCATTGCAAAAGGAGACCTGTCCCTCTTCTGGTTCATTGATAGACTAGAATATCTGATTTGATGTCAGATACATTTGTGTTTGGGCAGACCTGGGTCAAACTGGCTAACAGAGAAACAGCACATACAGCTGTACTGCTGAGCTTCGAAGTGAAACCACAATTCCTTGCTGCGGGCCTGGTAGTGGGTGGTCTCTTATGAGTCTCACTGTTATACTTCTCTATACAAGACTAGTAATTTTAGAGTTAATGATTCTAACACCTAATTCCCCAGTTTACAGCATAAAGCATGGAGTATTAAGATCCTGTGCATCTTTCAGAGCAGTGGAACCATAGTTTGCAGCCCCTCTATCACTAACTGTTGGGGAATATTTTAAGGTGTGCAGCTTCTGTTTATGCTGCACTTGTTTAACTCTGTGAAGCTGGGATTCTTTGCCTGCTTAAAATACCTGATGGTCCTAATGAAGAGATGAACAGCTGATAGCAAGTCAGGTGTAAGAATAGGCGGGGCTAGCAGGCAGAGAGTATGAGCAGAAGGAAGACAGGAAAAGGAAGCGCAACCAGAGAACAAGGAGAGGACATCAGGGGCCAGTCACCCAGCCAGTCACGGAGTAAGAGAGAAGACAGATAGAAGTAAGAAAAGGAAAAAACCCAGAGACAAAAGGGAGATAGACAACATAATTTATTTAAGTTAAGAAAAGCTGGCAAGAAACAAGCCAAGCTAAGGCCAGGCATTCATAACTAAGATTAAGCCTCTGTGTGTGATTTGTTTGGGAGCTGGGTGATGGGACCCTCAAAGAGTCAAAAAAATTAAGAGCAAAAACATCAAACAATTAACAGTTCAGGAAACTAACACCTACTTTCCAAGATGCAACTACAAAAACAAGGCCAACCTGAACAGCGCAGCATGAGGCCATCCTACCTTTTGGGGATCTCACACAGTTGGTTCTTACTGAAGTTGACGGAAGTGATGATGTTGCTTTTTGTGGCATCAAATATGTCATCAGGAATCAAGGTTGCTTGCTTATCACTAAGTAAAAAGCAATTCAAAAAATAAAACATTCTCAATTGTCCAGAAAATATGTAATCTCTAGTCCCTACTTCTAAAGGCCTTTACAGACTTTACCAACATGTTTAAGGTATCTATAGATGAAGCTCTGTTAGGTCAGTATGCCCCACTCCTGCTCAGTCACATGAACAAGACATACGTACTTTCAAAGTTCAGACACTTAGAGAATGCATGGTCCATTTCTCTGCCTGTGATTGGAGATGAATCTGATTTTAAAACCAAGCTTTCTTTAAAAATTTGTAAGATCTGTCAGCTTTGAGGGCTGCAGGTAAGGAGTGCAACCCTGTACTAAGTTAGTGTCTGTAATCACCTACACACACCCCTTCTTGCTCCTCTAGTGTGTGGCAGAGACACAGTAGGAGACGGGGTGAACTGACTATCTGTGGGACCACACTGATGACCTTTGCAGTTCTTTCCTGCTCTGGAATCAGAATCTGAAAAGCAGCCTTTGATATTTATGTTATGGCTTATGCAAATGTAAGCATATATAACAATGCCATATGATTGGAGGAACACAGAATAGGTACAGGAGATTCCAACTCACATATTAAAGGGTGGAATAAGAATAACGTGAATGGAGATCTTCACTGCTGAAAGGGGTCCTCCCAACACATATGGGTGAGGAGTCACATGAGCTCAGACTCTTTAGAGGATAGTTATCGGTCTGGAGTCTGTACTCCTTCATCTCTCCACCCCAACACCACACAAGAAAGAGTGTGAGCAAAAGGGCTGGCAGCGTAGTTCATCCTCACTATAAGAGCACCCGACGAATTCTTACACTCTGCAGGATACACCTTCATAATATAGGAACTTAATGCTTTCCGTTACTCTGTACACGGACACCATCAGTGCTTCCATGTTACTGTGTTCCCAGAATGCAGTGCAATTCTATGAGACATCACCTCAGTTCCACTCACAAACATGAGGTAATCACTTCTCAAACTGCTTGTTAGTTCAGTCAAGCTTTTCATTAACTAAATGATAGTTCTTATTTAACGGACTCACTCTCAAACATAAAATTTTCTCTAAGAACTAGTTAGTAAATTTGAGAAATTAAATACTAAACTGTCACTCATATTCTTGTAATAAAATATCACCATAAAAGTGTTAACATTAATCCAGACATTTCTCTCTCTCTCTCTTTTTTTTTTTTTTTTTTTTTTTTTTGCAACTAACATTGTTTTGAGTCAAATAGGGGAGGCTAAGCAGGAAGAAAGAGAATGAAAGGATGCAGCAGCCACCGCCTCCCAGACACTACCCAGAAAGATGGAACACTGCCTTTAGGCCAAAGCCCACCTCATTCCCAGTGAGGGCAACTGTGTCCTTTAATAAAAACCACACAAAATAGAGGGCTGAAGAGATGGCTCCGTCTTTAAGGACCTTTGGCTGCTTTTCTAGAGAACTCATGTTTGAGTTCCAGCACCCACATGGTGGCTCACAATTTTCTACATATTCTAAAATAAAATTTTTAATAAGGTCCAGGGAACAAGTTCTCTCCTTCGTGTGCCCTTCCTTTAACTTCACTGCACTGGTGTAACAGCCTTCTTCCCATCTTCTACCTCCTTCCCACAGTTCCTCTCCCAGACACTCAGCCACTCTAT